CCTCATGGTTTTGCTCTATAAAGCCCCTAGAAAAGGGAGGGCCTTGGCAACCCACTTGGGTCCTGTTCTGTCCCTCTCTTGGACAGAAGGTTTCTTTCCAGGCCAGGGAAATCGCTGGGCTGGGGAGATGGTTGGGCCGGGGAGATGGCTCAGTAGAATAAGCGCTTGCCTGGCCAGCGCAGGAGTCTGAGTTCAATCCCCGGTTCTGGAAAAAAAAGAAGAAGAAGAAGAAGAAGAAGAAGCTTTCTTTCCTCCTATAAATATATTCTGTTCTTAACCTCTGTCACTCCTAAATTCATTCTTCAGTTTTAGAGAACACAAACTAATTCCAAGTATCTTTCAGGTTGAGCGTTTCATTCCTCTATATATTCACTCAAATCATAAAAATTGCTAATTTAAAATCTCAAAATATATAAAGACATCTGAGGTTGAGTGAATAAGTTACAGGTTAGGAAAGATACCAATAGCAATTTTAGAAGACTTCAAAGGTAGAGAAAGAATTCTGGTAAATCTTGTACTCTCAATGGTAGAACTAAAAATTGGCATTAGCTTTAAAATAGTAAGAGCAACCATATCACAGTAAAGTAGCATTTCTTTAGGTTGCCTCTTGTGCTCACAAGTATAATAAGTGGAATATCATCTCTGCTGTTGCCAAAATGCTGAGGGCACAAATACTGAGATTACCAAGGGCATAGGCAAGCAAAGGCTTCCTTATGGCTGGAAATGGCAAAGCTTGGCACTGAGTTCGCTCTCCTTATTTAAAAGATCCAGAGTGTGCTTTTTGAAGCCTTTCTGACTGCAGCCTGAGTTCATCGTACGCATTCTGGATCCCGTCCATGCTGCACTGCAGCTCTTGGACTCTCAGGCTGCCCCGTGGCCTCAGCTCAAATCCTTCTAGGGCCTGCCTCCGGGCCAGCTCTGCCATCTCCAGCCTCTTCTCCAGCTGGTGGATCTCCGCCTGCTAGTTCTGAAGGCCCTTGCCCCTCTTCACAGACAGCTGCAGCAGCTCCTCCTCCTGCTTGATGGTCTGTGGCCTGGCCTGCAGCTCCTAGCTGGTGCTTGCTGTCTGCTGCACAGCTTGCTGGGGCTGCTGCCTGAGACTGCAGCTGGCCGCGCAGCTGCTCCACCTCCGTGGCCTGGCAGGAGGCCTGCTGGCTCCGCAGCTTCAGCAACTGTTTCTCCTGGGCCTGCGCCTGGCTGGCATCCTGGGTGCATCTCTGTTTTAGAGCCTCCAGCTCCTGTGCCAGGGCCTAGCTCCACAGGGTAAGCTGCAGTCATCTGGCCTCCTTGTCTTTCAGATCCTGGCTGAAGAGGGTGGTGTTTTCCAGCCTCAGCTTCTCATTCTCCTCCCTCAGCTGGATGTACACACTCTTGTGCTCATCCTTGAAGTGAATCATCCGCTCGTGGTTGGCTGCCAAGGTCTCACAGTGTTCCTCTGGCTTCTGTGCATGTCTACTGGGTACCTTCAGCTTCTGCAAGATTTCTTTTCTCTCTCTCTCTCTCTCTCTCTCTCTCTCTCTCTCTCTCTCTCTCTCCCTCTCTCTCTCTCTCTTTTTGTGAAACCGGGGATTGAACTCAGGCCCTTGCACTTGCCAGGGAAGCTCTTATTCCACTGAGCCATCTCCCCAGCCCCCAAGATTTCTTCTACTTTGAACTTCTAGAAAAATTTTTAGTTGTATTTGAGATGCAAATTTAGAATTCTAAAGTTTTTCTTTCATAAGTTGCCTTTGGGAAAAATGGCTGTGGGTAGCAGAATCACAGTCTCATCCTAGTCTCAACACATTTGCCAGAGTATTGGTTTAATACTTTATTTTATTAGTACATATTTGCAGTACATAAAGTTTACATTCATACAAAGGAGTAGGTACATATTCTTCACAAAGCTTGATTGTTTTTATTACCTTTTTCCTCTCTATCAATCTCCCCGCTTTTATTATTAGTTATGTTATTATTATTCTTTTTAGTTTGTATTGGGCCATAATGTTTATATTCATTGTGGGTATTTGGTACACATACATGATATACCTTAAACCTTCTTTTCACTTCCAATCACCCCCTTCTCTTGCATTTGGTCTCTCTCTCTCTCTCTCTCTCTCTCTCTCTCTCTCTCTCTCTCTTTCTGGAACTGGGGATTGAACTCAGGTTCTTGTGCTTGCCAGGGAAGCACTTCTTCCACTGAGCCATCTCCCTGAATCCCATTTGGTCTCTTTGACTCCTTCCCATCTGCAAATGATCTATCTCCCTGACTCCTTTTATCAGTCTTTTACTTTGTTTTTCACTTGTCCTTTGCATTACACAAATGACAGAAACCATATTGTATTTAGGCTTGTGTGTCTGATCTATTTAGCATAACATTATGTTTTTTGGATGTGTCTATTTCCCTACAAATGCCTCAATTTTAACCTTGATTATTGCAAGTAGTATGCCATTATGTAGACACCATGTTTCCTTTATCCATTCATCTGCTGATGGACAGAGAAATTTCTAAAACTTACCTATTGTGAATTTTACTTTTATAAACATTGGTTTCTTTCCTCATATTTGGTGCTACAGTTTATAATTTAAAAGCTGGTACTAGATAAGGAAGATTAGAATAATGACATTTAAAGTAAAAAAAAAGATAATGACACAAGTTGTATTTTTCATTTAGGAAATGAATTTTCATTTCCCACTATAATGTTATTCCTCACCTTTTAAGCACTTTTTTTTTGGAACTGGGGATTGAACTCCAACCCTTGCACTTGACAGGCACTCTATTTTCTTTGACTGTGCTTACTTGCTCTGCTAACCCTGGCAAGGCAGCTTTTTAAAAAGGTGGTTCATTCTATTGTAAACTCACTCAGTCTCCTTTAAAATTCATTTTAGGTTGAAATTTTTAGGTTAATAGCATTGATTTCTGAAGAAATCAATTGTCAATTGATACCAAGAATTGCTATGAACAGCAATGAAGCATACACACATGCTGAATACAGAAGAAATGCTGCAGGATGAGTAGTCCATAATCATGGATAAGTGAGTTATCATAAAAGCAGTGTAAAAAAAATAAGTAACTGTAAGGAGAAGCATGCTAGGGCCAGGGAGACGGCTCAGTGGAATAAGCGCTTCTCTGGCAAGCACAAAGGCCTGAGTTCAATCCCCGGTTCCACCAAAATAACCTTTGTTTTTATTTATTTTTTATTTTATTTTTTTGGTGGAACCAGGGATTGAACTCAGGACTCTGAGCTTGCCAGGTAAGCACTTATTCTACTGAG